GCAGAAAATGATGAATTCATTATATTACATATATATTATAGTAACATACTAACATAATTGTTGTAATTCAACTATTTAATATACTGTAAAACCTCCTAGGCATTTATTTGGTCAGTCGCTGAACTCCCCCTGCCTATGTTTGGGAAAGGCCTTTAATTCCTCTCCCACAGAACTCTTACCCAGAAAAGATGGGAAATAGGCTACTATTTTTAAATGTTTTTTAAAACCAGCATGAATATAACTGTTACTTATTTAATTAATAACTAACTGTTGATCTACACTGAATTATAAAAATTATAAACGCAACACTTTGTTTTTGCCCTCAAAGATCTAAGACTTTCTCTATGTAAACAAGGCCTATTCCTCTCAAATGTTGTTCACAAATCTGTCAAAATCTGTGTTAGTGAGCACTTCTCCTTTGCGGAGATAATCCATCCACCTCACAGGTGTGGCATATCAAGATGGTTCATTTTATTAAAAACATTTATGTTGGTAAGCATACTGAGTTTAGTTTTGTTTAAACACTGCTACATAATTTTTTTTAATCACCTAACACAAAGGGCAAAGTCTTGCAGGAGGGACTAGTCGTTGAACTGCAAATTTCTTACTTATAAAAATATCAGTAACCAAAAATGGAAAACAAGAACTATTTTGTACACCATTGTTAAAACTGTATCAACAAACATGTACAGCATTAACCAGATCTGGTCCTCATCAGGACTTGAAAGCTAGAGTGTGGAACTTTTACATATAAATGATCATCCTCGCCAAATGAGTTCACATAATGCTGATTAAGCCTCCAGGTAAATCTCGCCAGGAAATTAGCCACATTTCGCCAAGCTGGCGAACCGGTAGTGATGTTTTTAATGCCAACCAGCGATGACTGGTCTACTAGAGCTGAACATTGTAACATTGTGAAATGGTTGCAGTTTGGTTAGGTTTAGGCAACAAAGGAAAACAAGGCCCCTTAAGAAGCGGAGCTATTCAGTACCACCAGCTGTGGTGGACAGTCGTAAGAACCACAGACACACGCACATCTCTGTACGTTCTGATGCAGCATTCAGATTAGTAATAGATGACAAACTAGATACAGTTCAGTGTTAATAAGAGATGACAGATAACTGCAACAACACAGGGGTCGGCTGTAACAACACAAAGAATGGCCAACTGTCTTGACTTTTTGTGGTCTGTCACCACAGACTTCCATACTAGATTTCCAAAACACAATATATGTTTTGGACACAGATGATCTGAATGCTGGATATGCCTTTCTTATTAGTTTGTTACGTTAAAAAAACAGCAAAAGTTCACACTAAAATAACTTTAATTGGGGTTTCCGGTCATGGTTAAAGAGGAAATAGTCTTGTTGTCTCCTCTCATCACACTGACTCCCTCACACTTACGCTGTTTTACTTCCTGCTTCATGTCATATCCAACTAACCTTATTCTGGAAAACACAGACTTGTACTCTGACTTGTGCATGAAGCACACACTTCTATTTGAAGACATCAAATTCATTTTACATAACTTCACAGGACAGGGCTCCAGGCAATCTCTGGACACATGAACAAAGAGAAGACTCTGACATTTACCACAGAAAAGCAACATTTAAATAGACTACCAAAAGGAGCGGTGAGGAGGAAATGGCTTTTATGTGTAGCATGGAAACCCAAGTGAAAGCTAATGTCTTAATGCGCTCACAATCGAGTTTTCATTGTTTTAAGGACGCTTCAGGGAGGAATTAATCATTCACATAAATAAAACATGCACTTCCCTCATCTAAGGAAAAAAACTGAGCACAACTGATACTTTCACACAAACACCACCACCCCTTTGGTAGATCTGAGCAAATCGTCCACAGCCTTTGTGTATGGATTGAATCTTAAGAGTGTGAAATGGCGTGACTGTAGACTGCGCGTTATGCTCAGATCTCTCGCAGACACCGAATGCTCTGGACATCCATCACTCAGCCACTACATGACATTTACAGCCACTGATGTGTTCACTCCTTTGCCTTTGCTTTGGCTCTCAGAACAATGCTTTCCACTGAGACACAAAGATACAGCAGCCACATACTCCCGGATATAGAAAGAAGCCAACTCCTCCACAACAAAATTACTATAATTCATTTATAATTCTAGCTTTAAAATGTCTATTTTGACTATTATTTTAAAAAGTGTGTCAAAACAAAACTTCTCGATATTTTTAATTCTTATTGACAGTTTTAAAAACATTCACAAAATGCTGTTAGAATTTTCAGGATAATTATTCCTGGATAAAACAAAATTATCTCTTAGTATGAGATAAGAGAAAGTCTAATATCCATCCATTTTGTGTTCAAGTGAAAATAAAATTCCGGTTAGGTAGATAGCTCTGTCTATAAGAAAGGCAGATCATTTCACAAAAATGTAAATAAAGAAAACATTTTAAAAAGTCTTTACCTTTCAAGCATAACATTTATTCTGACTTTAGGCCTACAAAAAACAATCATTCAATCATCTAATAATATGTCACATGATTCCAATACAAATGAACTTGATTTAAGAATAAAGCAATCTGCTTTATTCTATCATATTACAATGTATTGACAATAATGTCAACAGCATTGACAATTTTTGTACAATTACAATAATTGTTTGAGAAAAGTATTTTCTTTGGACAGTTTGCAAAGATCCTTTTCAGGCCACACAGACATAAGTAAGCAGTAATATAATTGATTTATGTGACTAACTCAGTTAAAACAGAAACATCAGGCTCAAAAATTCATATAACTCAAACGCATGAAAATAACTTGTTTCTACTAGTTTCTAGTTGTAGCAGAATTGTCAATAGCAGTAATGGTAACCCCTGTACTTTCTGATTTGGTTGTAGACTGTTCACATGTTACATACAATACACTGCACATTCTCAAAGACACCAACACATACTTTTTTTGACATTTGACAGGGTTTATATGTGCATTACCACTTCAGAACCAAAACTGTCATCCAGTCATTAACATACAACAATAATCTTCATCCATCACTCCACTCTTTCATTTTGCTTGTTTTGTTTTTTTAATTAGGTGTCATTCATTGAATACAATGAACAGTTTTAGCAGTGAAGTCAGATTAATTCATTTAGCCCACACAATCACAGAGTGCTTTACAATCAAAATAACATAATGACATCATCTATCTGGAGACCATCAATTCATTTCAGACAATCAAGTGTCTTCCAACAGAGAGGTATTTTCCTTGGCCATTTCAGTCTGTTACTTGTGTTGTTTGCTGTTTGTGTTGTTTAATCATTGTGATATTTCATTGCTCCTTTGGCTTGTGTAGGAAACGTTTAATTGAGTTTGACCAAAGCAGGTAATGTATTTTCCTTTAACATTACTTTACTTTATTAATCTCTTTCTCTGGTATGTGTGTGAAGAGTTAAAACCATGACGGACAGCCATCAGGTTAGGCCTTCCTGCAGTCGAATGAAAGGCTGCATGAATTTGCGGCCCATGTCCTCAGACTCTGGTGTATTTAGTCTGATAATAAACCTGGGTGAGACAGAGGTAGAGGCGCTCAGAGCCTCGCCGGGGCATGATAACACCTTGACAATTCAACACACATGTGCCGCAGCGTGCTGGGCCGCAGCCTCAGGGCAGAGCCTCTACCAGCATATGGAAGAGGTTTTCCACTCAGCTGAACGTCCAGTACCTCCAATACAGCGGCCCGGTGCCAGATCTAACTCCGCAGTATTAGGCATCGAGGCCAGCTGCGGATTAACACAATTTGCACCTCCTCTCGGTGCAGGTAACACCCACACCTCCCCATGGAGGTCCAACTCGTCAGATTTAGCCTTTGGCTTCACCTTCACAGCCTTTCGTCTTAAAGCCAAATAAAACACATAAATTCAGAGACACACACAGAAAGACAGGCATCTCTCAAGAAGCCAGGTTTTGTTACTGAAGATATTACATGTACAAAGAGAAAATTCAATTCAAAAGCCATAATGAAATAAGAGCAAGCGAATCTAATTTAACATCACTGCTGTTTTTAAAATGCTTGAACAACTTCTGGAGGCGCTTTTGTTTCGTGCGCAGTGAGCAGAGACATTGAGGCATTCATAGCATTTTCTCTCACATCCTGCCATGGATCCATCACTTACAGGTGGGGACCCTAAAATAACAAGCTCATGTTATCAAAGGTTGGGACATCTGTGTTTTATATGCAAAGATCCTCAAAACACCTGTCAAAGTCCACACTCCACTTGACAACTTTGACATTTCCAGAAAGTTGTTGTTTGTTTTTTTCTAGTCTTTGTGTCTTATATTTGATCAGAGCTGCCTCAAATCAATTACTTTCAGACCCATCAATGTAGTGATCTGACACGCACACTTAAAAAGCTCAAAGGAGAAAAAAAGTTAAATAAAAGTAAATTTTTATTTAGCTGTTTTCGTTTTCTTGTGCTATTCAGATTAACTATTGACTAGAAAGCGTCATTCATTTAGCTTTGGTACAACCATTTCTCAAAGACACATAGTCATACATTGATTGACTCTCTTAGGCAACAAACCTGCAAAGACAGTGAGAAAAGGTTTACAGGAAGAGAAGGAAGCGAGAAACGGAAAAGGGAGGGAGGAAAGGAGGGAAGGAGAGAGTGATGGGAAGGAAGGAGAAATGAGAATTAGAGGTAGAGGGGTGGAGGGAAGAAAGGAAGGATGTGGTGAACAAGTGAGGGAGAAAAGAGCAATGATAGGAAAGCTGAAGCAACGGAGGGAATGATGGAGGATGGAACAAAGTGAGAGAAGGAAGGAAGGAAGATAGGAGTAAGGATAAAAGGAGAACAGGGGGGATTTGTTGCTCTTACAAACAATTGATCTGCGCAAGCTTTAGGTGTTTTTTGACACTCAGAGAGGCCCAGAGTGCTGAGGAGAAGCTAAGCTTTGCTGGTGCTGAGCCACTGTGGGCGGAGCATCACACTGTGAGGGGGGGAGAGGTGGGGGGAGGGAGGATGGGGTGGGGGGCTGGGTTGCCCTCTGACACGACCCTGACAAATGAGAAGGGAACCACCACGTAGGCCAAATAGCTCAGATTAAGGTAAGACACTGATTTTATCCACTTCCCCAAACTGTATTTTTTTTACATTGTGTTTTGGAGTCTACTTTTTAAAATTGTTTGCCTTTTACCCAAATGTAGACACCCACTGTTTTTCTACCAGATAAATTAATAATAGCGTCATGGTAAGGAGCAGCACTCCTTACCAGTAAATCGTAAGCAGGCTTGTGTGACAAAAAACAAATAATCTATTTAACAGGAGTTGCTTAAATCTCCACCTTGTTTAGCACGGCACACTAAATACCAAACACCAGGTATTCTAGAAATTCACCTGGACAATGTCCTCTCAGCAGCCATTCAGTGGGGTCTAAATGGCCGATACCTTTCACAGCTTACACAGGACAGAGGCTCACATTCACACACACATCCACACTGAAAAAAAAAACTACAATAAATACTAAAATAATATTCCAGTAAGAAAAATAATACCCCAAAGCAGTACTGCCTATAGTGGTAAAATCAATATCAGAAAAACTGTAGTAATTTTATATTTCATTAATTTAAAGTGAGACACAACATAACGCTTTTCCACTAAATATTATCACAGAAAATATGAAAGTATAAATGTTATTTAAAGGAACAAGTAGAGATAGCTCCATTAAACATCTGTAAAGCAGGTAAACACAAGCAGTCCTTCATTTAATGTGCTTGTGTCAGTCCGGCACACTACACACTCAAACTTACAAACTTACGCCTGTAACAATAACTGAACACAATGTTACACTACACACTGTACATACCTGCTCCTGGTCGAATGTGTATGAGGTCATATTTAAATCCTCAATATTCACTGTTTTTTTTAATTTGCTTTAGATGAATTTTAAATAAATAGTAAATAAGCCTCATGTTAGATCTGGAAATAGTTAATAAAGTAACTTAATAATATATCTGTCTTTAAGAATGGACTTTCATTCAGTATTGCACTGCCCTCAAGTGTTCACGGATGAAAGTTTATCCTGTAGTGTTTTTTACTAGAAAGATTTTACATGATGACTACTACGCATACTAAAAGGATGTTTTTTTCATTATATGAAGAAACGTTAAATTTAGGAGTGGTTAATAAAGTACACACTACAACTGTGTCCATATTTCTCCGCCGCATCACTGTTAGTAGTTGTTGTAACACTACAAGTAATATTTTCAGTAAAAGAGTAAACATAATAACTATAATAATATTAATAATAACATTTATTTATATAGCACCTGATTAATAAGTGCTTTACACAAGGCAGCCATAAGGAAATGAAATAAAAAGTGTTTTTAGATCAAAAAGTTAGTTTCTAGTAGTAGTAGTAGTAGTAGTATTGTCAGTAAAGTAATGATAACGTCTGTGCTTTCTGTTTTGGTTGTGGACTGTTCACAGGTTATGAGTCTGTCAGGAGAGTGGAAGTTCTGCTAAGAGATAATGAGTACTTGCAATCGGTGAGTAAATGTTCACACATCGGACTGTCTTTATGCTCAGAAAGAAAAGGGTCTTTTTGACTGATGAATAACTTAAATTACAGATTAATTTAAAAAAATGTTATTGATTAATTTTCTGTCTGAAAAAATGAACTAATCATTTCAGTACTACTGGTTATAAATTACCTTATTACCTTGGTACCTTGGCAAGCCTATTTTAATACATTAGCTCAGTCTGTTCTTGCAGTATTTGAGTTAGTTTGGACTTTTGATGTAGGCTTTATGATGTGTTATGATATTGTGATTTATTTTATTGATATTTATGATTTTTTCTAACTTCTAACTGGGTTTTAGGAAAAGTGAACAAATTACATGTACTTTATCAAACATAGATGTTTTAGTGTGCTGTAAATGGGCACTGTTATTCATGAGGAGCTGCTCTCTTGAAAACATTTAAACTAATTTTGGACTGTGATAAGACCCAGGAACTTCTGAGAAAACAAACACATATGGTATTTGATCTTAGGAGAAACATTGCACTTACTCTGAATTATGTTCCCTACTTTATGTGGCAGCAGTGGCTTTCCAAATTTGCAGGTGCAATGAGATCTGTTGAGGTCCTGTTAGTACAAAATTTAGTTTCTTCTTCTGTCAAAACTGAATACCATGGAAATGAATAGTACACAGGGTAGTACTGAGATAGTGTGAATTTGGGCCTTGAAAATTGAATTTCTTTAACATTAGGCATTTATGCTAAAATGAGTGATTTGGCATTTAAACATCACGTTTGGAAACTAAAAGAGTAAACAAAAAAAGTAAAACAAAAATGTAAAAGTGAACTTAAAAGAATTTTACACATCTGCTAAAATGTGCCATAAACCCAGAGAAACATACTTACTTAACTGGTCATTTAAATTGCGTCTTCTCATGAACACAGCCCAACACTGCATTGAGTAACTTTACTAACAGTCCAGGTCAGTGAGTTTCCCCAGCCCTTCGTTCATTTCCGTCAATAGCCCTAGCTAATATAGTGGTTAATATGCTATGCTAACTATGAGAACTTCAACCAAAAAGCTGTCTTCCACCGCTGAAATGTTGCGTTTCCCACCTGCAAATATATGGCTTAATCAGCTCTGTGAGTTAGAGGTTGCTTTCTAACAAGATCATACAAGTCTATTATACACTTAACAAACCCTATCCTCTAAGTCCCAATGACAAACTGTAAAATGATCTATTAATGTGTTTTCCATGTGTGATTAATTTAACTTTTCTGTTCTATTTTGTCTTTTTTTCTTTCATTTCATTTTCCAGTTTCAACTACTCAGTGGTACAACTACTCAGCAATACTACAATATTTATTAATTATTCTTGTCCATTTTTCCAGGCCTCCTAGTGTGTGTAATTTTAAATTAGATAAATGTAAACTGCACCCCAAGTCCCCAAATTACCTCAAAAAACATCTGTGTCCTCAAAACTTCAGTTGAGGATATTATTTTAATTAAGTATATGTGCTTGATTATTGTAGTGAAGTAATATTTTATTTACTTGTACTGTATTTAATTTCCCTTTTATGCTAATGTATACTTCTTCTGTACTTCACTGCATATCACATGAAACTTGTACTTTTGAATCCAAACATTTATTTGATAGATATAGTTACTACTTTATTTATAAACAACTTTCTACATGTACAATACGATGCCTTGTAATTGTAATGGAGTATTTTTACATTGTGGCATTGCACCGTTTACTTCAGTCAGGATCTGGAAACTTCTCCAGGTCTAGGTAGTTCTGACTAAATGTTTCCAGCTGATGTGTGAAAGCAGCCATTTCAACATCTACATAAGACAAGTGTAGTTAACTTTTTATTTACTCCTCAATGAAATTTTCTATTTTAAATTGTTACTGCTATGAAGATTACCAAAAGAAGAGTTTCCCATGTCAACAGCAGTATCCCCTGATGGTGTATGTTGTATGCATGTAGGCCTGTGTACACAGCGCGTGAATGTGTATGTCCATGTGTACAACTATGTGCCATCTGGACCACAGAGCACTGTGTCAGACGCCTCTTGTCCTCACTATAGTTGGAGTCACCATCAGCACATTTCCAGCTTGTGTAAACACAATAACAGCAAGGGTCGTCCTCAGGTCACATTCACATGATTCTGACTGACACAAAAGCAACACTGTGGACACATGGATTCATCTCTGTTTAAAACCAAACAGGAAAAAAAACAGTAAAAAGTAAAAACAGTAATTTTACTTGCTCAGGTGTCAAAGCTTGACTGGTGACTTGTTGACTACGTGATTGCACTACATGTGCTGATGCAGGGCAGTTTCAGTTTAAATAGTGATGTTGCAACTCATGGACACTGTGTCATGTGAGAGTGAGGGATTTTGTTTATGAAAGATCAGTCACTTGCGGTAAGTCTCGAAGCTGTAAGTTCTTGCATATAGAGTAGTTGTTTTTTTTCCATTTTGAAGTTGAAGTGTGTGTTTGCTGTTGGTGCCTGCAGCTTTGTCTCACATGCAAAGCAGCAAATCCAGTTTCCAGATGACACAGGAAGGGTAAAAATATGAGAAGTGACTGGTTGCGGTTACGACTGGAAATAATAAGTAATGATTTAACAGTCAGGCAGTGTTTAGCATTGAAAGATATTTTGAATGCTGAAGTTCAATATTTTCAGTGAGTTATTATTCATACAGTCTGTGCATATGGTGAAACAACTTATCTTGAAATATGTTTTATCGATGAATCTATAAGAAGTAAGAATTTATCGGTAGTTGATATATCTTTCCTTTCTTCGTTTATTTTGTGTACATACTGATATCATTAAGTGTCTCTGTTCCCACACAGAGAGGGAGGTCGCTGTGCAGAGATGGTATGGTATGCCTTACGGACTTGAGGAGTATGCTAAGGAGCATCTCTCAAAGGCCACCTGGGATTATTATGCAGCGGAGCAGACGAATGCTGCACAAGGGACGACAATCTACTGGCTTACAAAAGGTACAACAGGAAAAATAATTTTTACCCAGACATTCAACATCATCACAAATACAGTAAGCGTCTCAATACTGTTTAATATTTAAAGACTTTTTTAGTTTTAACGTACCAGACATGACAGCACAAAGAGTAAACATGTTTTAATGGCATCTATGACTACAGACATGCAGTCAACAGTGCAAACCCACCTAACTCAAGTTTCTGTATGAATGGTCGAATAACATACGAATTCACCATTGGAGCTGACATAACTTTTGTTTTAATAGTTTAATCCTGAAACAAAAGATCATGTGAGGACACAGCCTGTTAAAATGCCATAAATTAAAGTTTTTGTGGACTTTCTACTGCTGTAATGATTTCTCTATATTCAGCACAGTATGTGTGGTTGTGATGCTTATAATCATTAACAGGCGTTACCATTTTACCCAGTGCTGATGCTGCACTGTTCCTCCAACC